TCCCCAAATTTCAATTTAAAAGTCCTTGAGATATGCAACAAAATTAATAAGCAGTGCATGAAGGGAAATTGATTTTGAACCATTATTAAGAGACCCCATGGAAAATATACAGCAGAAGATGCACAAACAGGTTGTTGGTTGATAGAGATGTGATTGAGGTGTTTTTATTAACATCGAAAAGGCAATGGGGGTTGGTCAACTTCCGAATGTCATTGATAATAGGCAAGATAGTCCAGGCTCTATTACCCATCCTACCATTTAAACCATCAACTAAGACTTTGGAATCATATTCCAAGATGACTTTCTGATGCCCAAACTGTGCAGCCAACTTCAAACCAGATAGAGCCGCTTCAGCTTCAGACATAAGGACTGAATCACAGGAGTTAGGACCCACAGTCCCACCACAGAATGCACCGACAGAGTCACGCAAGATCACCCCAAAACTTGCCGAACTAACAGCATCTGCCCACGTTCTTTGTAAACTTTTCCATACCTCTTTTTCCTTTTCCTATTTCTTTTTCTTTTCTTTTTTTTTGTGGAGAAAAAGGAGGGGACCGATACAATATATACTTTTCATTAGAATGCAAACAAGAACAGAGCACCCTCTGGAATATTTTTTTCATCAATTCCTCTAGGTGCATGCACAAAGAAAATAGAACACCCAGAAGCATAATTTGAACTTAATATCCAATTAAGTCTCAAAATGTTTAGCTTGATGCATGTATTTCGATATATAATATGTACACTGCCAACCACTCATGAATCCTAGCAAATACAAACCTAATTTTAAGTAGACTTTGTCTAACTTGATGAATATAACCGATCCTTAAACAGTCATGACTATTAGATGCAGAAAACTGTAGCACAGAATTCATAAGCTTATTACATCTGAAACCTAATCACTTCGTCAGTATAACCGCTGAATGAAAGAAATCAGTTCTAGAGAACATAAAAAAAACTCCAAACACTGTACCTCCTCCTAACTTTGAAGATGATGAATGCTCCCCACAGAAATAATTGTGTGAAAACATTTAGGCATATCATCATGGAAACCAAACAAGATCATACCATCAATTCGAACCGTTTTGCGCTTCCCGTTCTGTAGATCATACCAAACAAGATAGTGGGAGTCCTGCAAAAGAACCATTTTACCACAACTTGAAAGCATTAAAGGCTTGCAACCGTCAATCCAGGTATTATCAAGAGAATAAAGCATAGTCCAAGATTTAGCCACTCTGTATTCTCTCATAATCCAAGCCGTGCTTCCACACTCCCTTCGATAAATACATAAATACCCTTCCACCACTATTAAATTAAACCTGTTGTTAGCTCATACTACCACTACGAGCCGAGCCTATTGTGAATCGCCACGTGATTAGAGGCATGCTAGGGCGCTTGTATACCGACCAGTATTGTATGGCGGAGCAGGGGCTGGACCAGTGATCGGAAATATATCTACCGACTCGACCACTGTAACTTCTACCCTAAGCCAATTGGGCATTAAAGAAACAGCTTGGCAGGGAAGAAAGGTCGGTTGATACACATCCCATCCTTAGCCAGGTGTCGCCTTGCCCTTTGATCTCCAGGTGGATAGGCTATGGATGGAGAGGGAACATTCAATGCACCTCCCATCCTTGTTCACCTGTCACCTCACTTGCTCCCTGTCAAGGAAGTAGGTTGGTCAGGGACATAACATTAAATGTAACACAATCTAGGGGATAGAAGATATTGTACATTAAAGATCTTCATCATGATCTTCTCCCTATAAATACCCCTCACCAATCTTTGGACAGAGGTAATAAATATTCTGATTGTGAAAACCCTATATCCATTTTCATCTCCAACCTAAGATAGTTCTTGACTTAGTCATCGGAGAGGGTTCAATTGGGATCAGTCCCAATTAGCTCTTATTATGATCTTATTCTACTTGTGCAGGAGTACCCCTGGGAGACACGCATATACGTAGCTAGAAGCACCCCCAGGTTACCTACGGGAGAAGGATACGCGGTTTACAAAACCTAATAGAATTCTTATAAGATATGTCTCCATGAAACATATGAGGATGGGTAAAGTAAACTGGCAAAACTCCTTGCTTGCAAGATCAAGGGTTCCAATTATCATCGTTTCATCGTCTGTTTCGTGACGCATCAACCAATGCAAAGTAACCTTCAAGAACACACCCATTGAGTGAACTACAAATTTTTTGAGAGGCAAATCTTGAATTCTTTTCCACGTAAGAGATTTTAGGCTATACATGTGCACTAAGCAGTACGTACCACAGTCCATGAAACTCACCAATTTATAGTCATCATTGACCGAATCATACCCTAATCCACCATAGCTGTTTTGATACCAGAGTATACTAAAGGGCGAAGATGGGATCCGCTTGAACTTTCGGATGGATGGGTTCCATAAAAGAAAGCATGCACCATCCTGCATGCAAACCAGACCATTACAGTAGCCGAAGATTATGTCTCTAACTAACGGAGGATGTTGCCACGGCAGCTTGATTCTCAAAAGTTTTCCAGACGTCGTGTCGTCGAAAAAGTTGAGTGAAAAATAACAGGACATGATCGGGCTATATGGGATAATAAAAATTGTGGGATGGGATTTGGTTTGGATGGAGCGCTGGAATTGCGTTATGGCCAACTGTGGATCTTGGATGGTATCGTCCATTCTTCAGAAACGCGCGTCAATCGCACCAACTCCTTGGTTGAGAGGCGGGCGAGGATGTTGATCCACAGTTCTGCTGGGAGGTCTGGCATGTTGGTTTGCCGTTTGTGACGGTTGGGTAAAGAGGATATATTAGATGCGTTGGATCGGGTTAGGGTTTTTCTCCTTTGCTTTTTCACTTTGGGGCCGTTTCGATCACGTGAAGTCAAGGAGGCCAATATGGATCATGTTCTAGCACTACAAAAAAAAAAAGTGGCAACAGTCACCATTATTTAGTGACATTTGGTGACATTTGGTGACATTTGCTGGGGTGACTAAAGGCTTTAGTGACTGTTGCCATTTTTTTTTTTGGGGTAGTGGAGCGTCTTCAATTTAGCAAAACTTCTCTTTTGCTATATTGGAATTTTTATGATATGTATTCTTCTTCAATAAGCAGGTATTATAAAGATGTACAAAGTGTTAAACTCTAAAAGTGTTAAAATAGAAAAGAAATCCTAATTACAATAGGACTATACAAAGGGTAAGTAATTACACTACACAATTCTCATTCCGGAAATGACAATCTACTGCTCCAATTCTCATTTTGGAATGGACTCTACTAGAAAAAAGGGCAAAATCCACAGTTTGCCTAGCCACTGGTTATGTGTGGCATTTGGCTAGACTAGAACTTGTTATAATTTCTTCAATACTGCGTATAATTTTAAACAAACATTCACAATTTGGTTTCTTCAAGATGGGTGTAAATCTTCTGCAAACTCTTGATTAATTATGCAGGAGTTCACCAAGATAAGTTTGTTATACCTGCTACAGTAACTGCAAGAAGAATTAATGATCAGCTGATTCTTAGCCATATTGAGAGGGAAGGAAAGGAAGCATTTTGTACATAGCTGCCAAAAGGGCACACAACAGTGCGCTATCTTCGGCAGAGAAGATGCACAAACTGTTCCATCACAATATTTTTTTCCCCTTCTTTTGAGAAAAATTAGGGATTTAATTTCATTACAATTGAAACAATCAACTCATAAGAACAGAGCACCCTGCAGAAAAAAAGGCTTCATCACACTTAGAAGCATAAGTGGAACTCATGCATTTCAAAATATAATGAGCGCTGGCAACCACCCGTATATGAATCCTGGCTCACAAAAAAACCGACTTTTAAGGCGACTTTGTCTAACATGATGAATATAACCAATCCATGAACATTCATGACACTAATAGACGCACAACACATAATCTCATTCATAAGCTTATTACTTTATGAGATATTTAGTTATATACCCATTCTTAGCACTACTGATATAGATGAATCTTACACCATTTAATTTATATAAACAAACCCAAAAAATGACAGTTGGCCCTATTGAATTTAATTTTGATTATTAAATTACTTTGATGCCCTATTGAGTGTTTTGGGTTTTTTTTCATGAGGTTGGTCTTGTTTTAAGAAATCGATGACAATTTTGTAATTTATAGGATGTTCAAAGCCTCTTTGTTATATTGTAAATAGGCTTTTTTTAAAAAAAATGAAAAAGGGGGGAATAACCCCAAAAAACAACCTACACCAGCATATTAGTAGAAACTAGCCGAGTTCTAGTAATTCCTAGCAAATCATCAATCAAACTAGGCCCAACCCAAGCTGGAGCATCAACAAAGATATAAAGACCCAAGTCTAAGTGCCTGTTTGGCATTACTTATTTGGGGTGATAAGTGATTTTTAAAAAATTTTGGGAAGTCCAGCCCGTTTGGTTAACTATGAGCAAATCACTTATTGTTAAAAAATTGCTGTGAGAGAAAGCTATAAGGGAAAGCAGCTAATGAGGTACTTTCATTTTTTGATTATGCGGGAATTAGTACCAACAACACTTTTAACAAAATGTTTACCAAATGCCAAATTGCTTTATCTCATAGCTGATTTCTTTCACAGCAAATCTGACAGCGATTATTTTCACAATACAGCAATGCCAAACTGGCCCTAAGATTGTAAATAGGCTTTGGTTGTGTTTCTAAAGTCCATTTCATGTAGGGTTTTTTTTTTAAATTTTATAATTTAGGGCCCCTATATTGGGTATAATAGTGAATCTCCAAGTACAATAAAGATACGCAGCCACTAGCCTGCTAAAACTTACACAGGATACCATTTGAATAGAAAATGGTCATATAAAAGGAAAATCAAGCAGCCAATAGCAGAATTTAGTCTTTAGACAAAAGAAACAAAAAAAAAATATCTATATATATAAAGCAAAAGGCAGAGAATGGTGAAACATTCAGAATACCAAAAAATACCATTGGTTAATGCAAACATTAAGAATGGCACCAGAGAGGTCAGGAAACTAGCATCTTCCAGGCTTTCAGTAGTTTGGCAGTAAGTAAACTGGTTTTCAGTCCAAAACAACTTCAAAAGTTTTATCCAAAATCCGATGAAAATAGCTGCATGATTATATCCAGACTCAAATTAGAGATCAAAATTATGCATATATAGCATAAGCTAAAGAACGATTATTAGCATGGCATCTGAGATAAAATTGTATTTACAAACTATTCCGTCTCTAAACAAAGAAAAACTAAAAAGAAACAAAGGAAAATGAAATTCAATTATTCATTGATTACTGTTTTGAGCTTAGTTTGTGCAAACTGCATCTTATCAAACATCACATTTAGCCATGAAGTGATCAAAATGCAACTTTATGTGAGTGCGTGTGTGTATATATTTGAATGTAAATCCAAGAGATTTTAGGGTTTGGCACCTTTGATTTCTTAATGAGCGAAGAGCGAGAAGTAGGAGAGCTCTGGCACCGAGTTTGGATTTCACGGGTCTTTGAAGCTTTACTACAATGGGCAATGGAGTACGGAGCCTCTTTAACTTCCGTTTGGATGTTTGGAGTGTCATATTCCTTGTCCGGATAGAATTATCCTGACCCAGATTAAATTTTTTTTCTTTTCAAATTTATAATTTTCGGAATTAAATGATTGGGCTAGTTTTACCAAAAATAAAAAAAAGTGTAGCATGGTTGGGCTATTACTGTTGTGGCCTTTAGTTTTTCTATTTCCATTATGGGCTTTGGCCCATCCGTACCAAACAAAGACCAAAAATGAATGTTAAAATCTAGCTTGGCTTGGGACAGACATTATTCTTAAGACAAACACAATATTCATGATATCTGAAATATTATTCATCACTTCAATTCCTTCCAATACTTTTCATAAAATCAATGACAAGCATACTGCATACAAAATTCCATGAAATTAAGAACCCTAACAAGGATTTCATCACTTTCCCTCAAATAGAATGTGAAATTTTAATTACAAACATTTGAGATCGTGGTGGACTGTACAAAAATTTGTACCCAATAATCATGCCTAAGTTGTGTTACAAATAAAAAATCGTGGATAAAGTTTGAAATTAACTTGGTTCGTGCTCAATCATCTTCACAGTCTGAGTCATCCGGCAAATCATCAAAGAAAGTAAGCAAAAACTGAAGGTCATAATCCAATTTCAAAAATTCTTCCAGGTCAGGAATTGGACCCGGCACGTCGTAAAGAACCAGCTTTCTAGCCTCCATTTGTACAATTGATGATGTTATTGATGATCCTTTTAGTATTTCTTCATCTTCTCGCCCTTCATCGCTACAAGATGCTGATGATGATCGAGATGACAAACAAATTTTCTTCTTCTTCTTGCTCTCTTTTTTGTTGCTTGTTTCTTGCGTCTCAAGTTTTCTTGGACAAGAACGAGTGTTTTCCTCCAGCATATGAATCTCGTGCACTATTTCAACTTTCTTTCTCTTGGGTTGTTCGTTAACGGCTGCATTAGTTTCTCCTGTGTCGGTAGAAGACTCCGTGGCATCCGGATCCAAAACCCGGATTCGAATCATCTTCAACCTTCCCTTCTTTTCTTCATGTTCTCGTTCTTGTGGCGCTGCCGCTTCTTGTTTTATCTTCCGGCTGCCGATTGCTGTTGGTCTTAGGCTGTAATTGCTTTGGATTTTAGTTGATGAAACGGTGCGTTTGGTGGCATTGTTGTTGGTGGTGGTGGGACTATGGAGTTGATGTTCGTGTTCTTGCGGCGCTGCCGCTTCTTGTTTTCTCCTCTGGCCGTGGCGGCCGGGGTGCTGTGAGGGTGGTGTTAGGCCGAGGCCACTGCAATTAGTTTGAGGTTTGGTGGAGGAAGTGCGTTGGATTGCATTCAGTGGCGGAGCCACCTAAGGACCAGTGTGGGCCCAGGCCCTCTCTCATATTTTTTATTTTATCATATTTTTACTTATATGTGTTGCTATATATGTTGGCTTCCTGGAGTAATAACTGTAAAAATTCATGTTTTTTCTCCTTCTCTTCCTCTTTTGATTAACTTAAGCTTTGTGAATTCCCCTTTCCCCCATTTTACATGTCTAAGTAGGGCATCTTAATATTGGGATTCATGAACATTTTGTATATTTCTTATCTATGTTGAAGTATAAATGATTAAATTTTGAGTCTTTAATAGTGTAGATGATGAGATTAATATTCAACCATGTTAAAATATGAAATTCAGGACAATTATGATTGTAATAAATGGATAAATTATTAATCAGTATGAAATGGTATTATTAACTTATTAACTCGGATAGCGCTTGAGGGCTCCTATTCGAATTATTTGATTTTTTTTTTTAAAGGGCCCTCTCTAATGTGAAATCCTGGCTCCGCCACTGCTCATCGGGGTAGATGGAATGAGTAAACCCTAAACCCTATTAGTTGAATGCAACAATATGTGCCATTAGCATAAATTTCCTTTTTCACTATCATAATTTTTTGTCCATGTCCATGTTTCCGTTTTTCTTCGTCTTCTGTGGAGCAAAATTAAACCCAACATGCCTTGCTTTGCAGGTTCAAACAAGATCTATTCTGCTGCACGTAGCGCTGCTAATTAACTGTAATTATCAACTTCTATATTTGGCACAGCACTAAACAAAATCTATATTACAAAAAATGCGTGCAAGAATTGGATTTTGAACCCTTATTCTAATTGCCAGAAGCTGCCAAAAAGGCACATAACAGTATGCTATCTTCAGCAGGGAAGATGAACAAACTTGGTGATACAACGATAATCAACATCCAGTATTGTATGAAATAGTCGCTTCATCAATATGATCAAACATAACAGCTTAAATCAAAGAAACCAGTTACAGAGAACGTCAAAACAACTTCAGAAATTGTCCCTCCTCCTAATTAAACTTCCAAGAAGATGAATGCTCCCCACAGAAGTAATTGTGTCAAAAATTTCAGGCATACCATAAATTCTAACCGGTTTTTGCGTCCCATTCTGTAGATCATACCAAGCAAGACGGCTGGAGTCCTCCTCAAAAAGAACCATTTTACCACAACTTGAAAGCATTAAAGGCTTGTAATCGTAAACCCACTTATCAAAAGAATAAAACTTAGTCCAAGATTCCGCCACTCCGTATTCTTTCATAATCAAAGCCTTACTTCTACACTCCACTAGATAAATACATAAATACCCTCCCATCACTACTAAAGAAATCAAATCAGCCAAATCAGATGTGCCTGATTTGAGAGAAATCAAATCAGGAAACATATGGAAGGGTACAGGAAACTTGGAAAAGTCCTCGCTTGCGAGATCAAGGGTTAGAATTATCATCCTTTCATCATCTGTTTCATGATGCACCAACCAATGTAAAGCACCCTTCAAAAACACACCATTTGAATGAAGTACAAAATCTTCGGGAGGAAAGGCTTGAATTATTTTCCATGCATCAGATTTTAGGCTATAAATGTGCACTTCATAGTGCGGATGAAACTGCAAGAAACTCACCAATTTATAGTCATCGTTGACGGAATCATATCCGAATCCACCATAGCTGTCTTCATGGCCGTGAATACTAGATGGCGACGAGGGGATCCTCTTGAACTTGTGGATGGACGGGTTCCATAAAAGAAAGCCTTCACCATCGTGAATGCAAACCAGGCCATTACAGTAGCCGAAGATTAGGTCTCTAGTTAACAGAGGCTGTTCCCAAGGCAGCTTGATTTTCAAAACTTTGCCTGACGTCGTATCGTTGTGGGAAAAGTTAAGTGAAAAATAGCAGCTCATCGGAGTAGATGGGATGAGTAAAATGATGGGATGGGATTTGGTTTTGATGGACCGTTGGAGATGGCTTATGGCGAACTGTGGATCTTGGATGGTAGCTTTCCATTCTTTAGAAACGCACATGAAGCTCACCAAGTCCTTGGGTGAGAGACGTGTGACGATGTCGATCAGCAGTTCTGCTAGGAGGCATGGCATGCTGAATTTCTTTTGCCGAGAGGTAGGGTTTGCCGTTTGTGAGTGCACTGTGACTGCTGGGTGAAGAGTAAGGTTTTCCTTTCTGTGTTTTATTTGAGGGAGAGCCATTCGCATGAAGTCAAAGAGGCCCACATGATTGAATGCTGTTCAATCTGGCCCAACTTCAAACACGTGCTTAATGAACCCTTTTTTTCGTCCGAAAAAAAGTCTTTCCTTCTTTCTTATAAAACGTTCTATAACGTTCTAACTTTTTTTTTTATAAATACCATGAGGTGGCTCCACACCCGAAGGGCGGGATTAATCCCCCCTCGGGGTTTGACTTGCCCCTTGTTACAAAGTGCTTTAAACGGGTTTCGAACCCCTGTTATTGAGGCACCAGGTAGCTCGCCAGTTGAAGGTGGTAGTTTGCCAACCACACCACACTTTGTGGTTTATAACGTTCTAACTTAAAATTGATAACGTTGTGACTTATTCAACTAGGAACAAAAAATAGAAGAGCCAAACCTAAAATTCATTATATCAACCTCATTTGATCTGAGGCCAAAGTATCGGTTAACGTAAGAAATTTTGGGCTATTGAAAGTTTGGAATGGTTAATGGATTGACCTCTCCTGAAACAAACCGATATGTGCTTAGATCTAGATCTTCAATTTATAAAAATATCACTCCAAGCTGGTTGTCACCGCTTTTGGAAAAGGATTAGGAGAATAGCTAGAATGTTTTTTTAGTTTTTTCAGATGTAATGATACTCTTTTTTCTGGACCGAATTTTCCTCCACTCGGGTTTTCAAGACAAGATTTTAATAAGGCCACATCGACAACATCTGGTCTGCAAGGAATTCTTGTATTTGAGTTATTACTGAATGAAGTTTTTTCACCTTCTTGATCAAACAAGAAAAAGAAAAAGTAGTTCTCACACACACTCTCTCTCTTCTTGTTTCTTCCCTTCATTTCGCTTCCTCTCTTAATCGACAATATACTAATTCATTCATTTCCATTCTTGAATGGAAAATATTTGATAATGAAATCTCGTAAAATAAGCAAGAATTTCAACTTTGGAGGTGTCAATATATTCAAATGACCTTTTTGAATAAAAAAAAAAACTTAAGCTGTATTTTGTCTCATGGGTAGATAGTTTGTATTTTGATGAAAATTACCCCTTCTAAGTTAACTGATGACTAATTTCATTGAGATTTTTGATGGAATATTATAACACGGAACAATTTGATATGTAGACCAAAAAATTGAGCCCAAGATTGATTGATTTCAAGGACTTCCAATAGTTTTTTTATTTTTTATTTTTTATTTTATAACAAATTCAAGGACCATTCAAATAAAAAATTCAACTCATTATTTATTAATGAGTTATTTAAACTAACATCCCCTAAGGTTTTCGGTTTTTTTTTTTCACAAAACTCCTCTGAGGTTTAAGAAATTATACAAACACCCCTCGAGTTTTTAAGTTGTTTACACAAAACGACTTTCCGTTGATTTTTTGTCCAAAGATTGTGATTTTATATAAAAATTAATGACAAAGTTAGGCTTTGAGATTAGACTGCACATACATTCATTGATGTTTTGTAAGTTTTTATCATATGAAATCATCAATTTTTGGACGAACAGTCAACGAAAAGTAGTTTTGTGAAAACAATTTGAAACTTGAGAAGGTGTTCATGTAATTTATGAAACTGCAAGGGGTTTTATGAAAACACCAAAAATCTTAGGAAGTGTTAGTGTAAATAACTCTTTACCAACTAAATAAGCCACGTAGTTGAAATAAATGGTTATCTCAATGAGTTAATGACTAATTGTAAATTGACATGTGGTCCTTCCTACACGGAGTCACCCCCACAGACCGAACACCCAAAAATCCCTCATTTTTGTATCTAGTTTCTCATCTTCTCTGCCTCAGCCCTTCCCTCTGCAGCTCTTCTGCCGCCCCGCGCCGCCGGCAACTATGTTGCTCTTTGGACTAATGGTATCTCTCTCTACCACATTGCCTATTTGGTGTCTGATTTACTTAACGTTGATGCATTTGTGTAGTGTGTATGTTTGCTTGAGCTAATTTGTTTACGGTAAGCTAATTTGTTATTATTATCTTTAGTTTAATTATTTTCTTAATTTAGCCTGCTGTTAATGATTTATTTTACATGTTTTACTCTCTGTTTCTGTTGATTTGTTCTGTAATTTTTTTGGGTTCGTGGGCTTGTGTTGATTTAATTGTTCTGTTAATTGTATTTTCCATTGTGTGCGGCGCTGTTAATTCTATTTTCAATTTCGTTTTTTAATGTTCCGTTGGCTATTGATGTGCTTCTGTATTACTAATTGTGCTGTTAATTGTAATTTTTATGGTTGCAGGCTTGCAGGTTGAGTTAATATAAGGCTCTTGAACTAGGAGGTTTACCTGCAGTTTCTGACTACTTGTAAGTTCATTTCTCTTCCGTACTTTGAGGGCAATGTATAAGAATTCAATTTTGCATCGTAGTCCTGCAGAAACTATGATATTTATCCAACTGGAACCACAATTGTTTCACTTCCTCCATCTGGAATGTGTATGCGATTGCTACACTCAACGGAAGGTGGTGAATATGAGAGTACCTAAGGACTGCATGTAATGCTATGAGGTGTGAGACATGAATCATTTGGTTAATCATTGTAAGAAACACCCATACAGAGTTGCAGTAACAGAGCTAGGACATTGTTTTCGGGGGACTGGGGGGTGTGTGTGGATTTTTAAGGGGCGGGAGGCTGGAGCCTGTAAACTGGGCTGAAGATGGAAACTTTTGAGTACAAATTTTACTTAAGAATTTTTTGTTTTTCTGTGGGCTAGCCTGGGCTATAGCATGGATTATCCAACTAGTAGCTTGGCCCCCGAAGAGTGCTGGACAAAAGGCAAAGAAAGAAAATGATGAGTAATAATGCTAATAACATCATCGCTGCAGGGTCTAGTGAAGAAGTGTGTATAAAAGTATGTATTGGGATGAAATTCTTAATGAGCTAGCTTGTGGTTCATAGAGGGAGAAAGGCTTTGATCCTGTTGTAATGTGGTCTGTTTGAAGTTTGGAGATGACACGAAAGGAGATTTGAATGTTTTCATTGAGTCATGTTTGCCATATTGGGGTTTACAAAGGGTGTTTATCCTTATTGTTTGATGATGGGTCTGCAAATGATTTCAAGCATATGAAGAGGAAATTGAGGGACTGAAATGTTAATGTGTTATTACAATTTTACGTTTCTAGCGTTGTGATCTAGTTTAATTGGAACTTAGGGTAGATATGCATGATGGCATTGCTAGAGTATTCATAGCGAGAAAGACGATATACTCCTGATAAGGTTACAAAAAATTACAGCATGTTCATCTATTTGATGTCAACCTCTGTTTTAAAATTCAGAACGTTGTTAAGCTGTTGGAAGAGGATTACAATATTCTTCTGTCTACAATTTGAATTTTGAACCATTCTTATATGAAGAGGAAATTGAGGGACTGAAATGTTAATGTGTTATTACAATTTTACGTTTCTAGCGTTGTGATCTAGTTTAATTGGAACTTAGGGTAGATATGTATGATGGCATTGCTAGAGTATTCATAGTGAGAAAGACGATATACTCCTGATAAGGTTACAAAAAATTACAGCATGTTCTTCTATTTGATGTCAACCTCTGTTTTAAAATTCAGAACGTTGTTAAGCTGTTGGAAGAGGATTACAATATTGTTCTGTCTACAATTTGAATTTTGAACCATTCAATTGTTCAAATGCATAGAGTTTACTCTTCTGTTAAATTCAGGCTGCCCATTTATGTTCATTTTTATTGTACTTAAGTTTTGATTAATCATTTTTATCCAAATTGGAAGACTCAACAACCAATGAAAAGGGGAAAATCATTCACGTTGGAACAAGATGTGGCTATTTGCAATGCTCGGTTAAATATCTTCCAAGATCCGTTCAATGTTGTTTCAAAACCGCAATATAATTTCTGGGATCGAATATACCAAAATTATGGTGAGTTAACTGGGGATCAAAATGTGCGCTCCCAATGTTCAGTTCAGTCTAGGTGGAAATTAATCATCGGGAGTTGCAAAAAATTTCATGATTGTCTTGCTCGAGTAGAAGATAAACAAAGTGGATTGACTGAATCTAACAAGGTAAGAATTCGTACTTTCCTTTTTCTTAGCAATAATATTTCTCAAATACTTCTCTTTTTCTTAGCAGTTAGTAATAATAATCCTCAGCTAACTTCTTTAAACCCTCACTAGGTTCTTCGAGCAAATATGCTGTACTTTGAGCATGAGAAGAAACGTTTTGCATTCAATCATTGTTGGGAAATTTTGCAACATAAGATGAAAGATTTGGCACCAGCTAAGAGTCTTGATCCTCGTACTAAGGATAGAGACTCCAACATCCATTCCTCATTCTCCTCGCATCCTCTGGACCCTAACACACTTGTTTCACCTGAATCTGATAAAGATTCATATTATATAACGGAATCTCGAAAAAGCAAAAGGCCTGCAAGAAGAAGGGCTGAAAAAGAAGCACACAGGAGGAGCAAGGTAGTCAATACTTTGGATTCTCGCATTTGCGACTTGATGGAGCAATTTACAAAACAATTGGCAGAGAGTGACAAAAGAAAGGCAGAAGTTGCAGAAAGAAAGGTAAAGGTCATGGAGGAAATGAATGAAAGGCAGCAAAGAGAGCAAGATGACCGCATTATGAGTATGGACACTTCAAACATGGGACCACGCGCAAGAGCTTACTATGAGCACAGAAAGAGTGATATTTATTTCAAAACCATGGGGCACACTGCAGACAAGTCCAATATGGAGGACAAGAGCACGATATTTATGCCAAAATGACGGCATAAAATTCAGGATATGAATTTTGTGTACGAATCACATTCTGCATATGCGTTGATGTTTGAATTATGAATTCATTCATGTTTATCTATCTTGAATTATGAATGTTGTGTAGGAATCACATCCCACACTATCAATCAAGCTCATGACACTAGCCGTTACGTATACCTACTTTAAAAATAAAAAGCCTTCATAGTATGCCAAGAGGCACATTGCCCCCCTTCCCCTGAAAAAATGAAGATTTCAATTATTCTTCAGTAGTAAACTGATTTGTATACTTAATTAAACACTTCATTTAGATGAAACTAACTAATTAATTCTACCTAAGTAACTTGTGAAGAAGAATTTCAACACTATAAAATATCGCCTTCGTAACACAGATCGATCACAGACAGAAACAAGATGAGGACAGTTGTTAATTATATGGTGATGTTGAATATCATACTTCTTGTGCCAAGTAATGTTGTGGAAGCCAGGGACTCAAATTTGATCACTGTATCTGCTGCCTCTGCTCCTCTTATCTGTTCATTTGTTGCTGCCAATTTATGGAGAAAACCGTTTAGAGTTCTGAATCTAACTTGCCATCAACAGTGCGTAGATGATTGCGATGTAAGATTCAAATCTTCACTCATTACAGACATTGTGTTGAGATATGTGAACAAGTATGCAGTTATTCCAAACGTCCATGAAGAAATAATCTTAGAACTGGTATGGGTTCTCTTACCCCAACTCTCTATTTCATGCTAAAAATATTATTTCTTCTTGTAAGTAGGAGCATAAAGCTTGGGTGGTAAATAAAAAATTAATAAAAAAGCATATTTCTACAATACTAAAACTTAATAAAACAAAGACAATAAATAAGATGGTATTTATAAAGAAGGACATTTAACACTGAAAGAGATAAAATAGGAAATAAATCTTAATTACAATTAGACTAGATAAACGGGTAAGTAACCAAAGTCCTAACTAAATAAGGACTTGCCAACACTCCCCTCTCAAGTTGGCGCAAAGATGTTTCGCATACCCAACTTGTCAAGCGAGTTATAGAATACCGTACCCGAGACTATCTTCAAGTTGGTCTTCTGAATTAACAAATTTAGGAAAACAAATAATCTCACTTCCCAAATTTTCTTTAGTGAAGTGTCGTCAAAGTCTTCATCGGTGATGGGAGAAGGGACACCATTAGCACTAGTGATATAGGGATGGCCGTCAAGCAAAATTCGAATGAACAACAAAGAAGGTCTTTTCGCAAACCATGAGTTAAAAAACAGACAAACCAAAGCAAAGATCGCAACAAAAACACAAGAGAAAACCCTAAGAAATAGGATTAAGGCAAGGGCAAAGGGCCGCACTTGTAGAGGAGCTGTGATCTATAGGATCTCTAGGAAAAGGAAAGTAGAGAATTTGAGGACGCCTAGGAAGAGGAGTACGCTTAGGATTAGGAATGAAAATAATGGGAGCTTCAGGACGAGGAATGAAAGGAATGGGAGCTTCAGGCATCCAAGGTTTAGGAATGTGAGGTTCATGAACAGAAGTTTTAGGGTTGTTAGGTTTAGCAGTTTCTTTTAATGTGGCAAGAGCTCTAAGAGCTTTGGAAATGTAAGGGATTTAAAAAAAATCATGACATGGAAGGTGTGAGCCAGGGAAAGAGGACATTTTGAACGAGAAATACGTTGCATAGAGAGAAGAAGAAGCATCTTCTTCATGAGCTTGCACTGCAAGAACCACAACTAAAATCGATACAATCATCTACATGAGCTTCATAACTAGCATGAAAAAAGAAAAGGAGAAAAGGGCACTTGCACAGTTTTTTGTCTTCTAATAATGTTCAAACCAGAGTAGCTAAATTTATAGTATCAAAGAAATGATAAGTCTATTAATTTGAGTCTTCTTTGAGGGTTATTGTCCATTGAGGTGGTTTAAAAAAATAAAAAACAAAGCTCCAAAACACAAAACAAAACTCACCTGTTAAGCGAGGCTCTTTGAAGTTGTAAGAGATTCCTTTCCATATCTCTAGAATATATTCCTTTTCTTGTTTTGGCAACATATGTTGCATAAAGTCCACTAACCTTTTGTTAGTTAGTAAGGACTTTATAATAATACATCTATTTCTATAAGTTTGCATTATTTTCACACCAGTTGGTCCAATAACAATTTATGCTAATGACTTTCGAATGCAGTGTGTGTAAGAAAACACCCCCTTTCAAATATCGTTTTTTTAAAAAATAAATAAAGATTTTAAAAAATAAAATAAAAAACCAGATGGAAGAAGTTGCAGATAATCAAGAGTTAATACCAAAAGTCACAAGCACTTATGGAAATAATATTCAGGAAAATCATCCACATCCCAAAAGACTTAAAGCTCAGATTGATCAAAAGCAAATAGATCCGACTTACATAACCCACACAAATATCTATCAAAACCACCCAAAATCCCGTCCAATTATTCAAAGATCATCCTCCATCCTCAAGTACTCTCCAATATCCGTCTGGTGAAGCACCACAATTCCATTGGGATCCAACTTCCTACAATCCTGAGTAGACTTGGCCGCAATCCCGAAACCCAAAGGAACATCTGACATCGAAAACACCACCACACCATCACCTGGCACAATATTCTCTGTAATCCTCCCCAAACCACCTTTCAAGACATGGTTTCCGTACAAGAACGACATCTCAGAGGTAGGTTTGAGCCAGACCTTGTGTTTAGCATTTGAGGCCACTAAACTCAAGCACTGAACTGTTAAGTGGAAACTACCACCATGAGTAAACCTACCGATACAAGTGCCCAGAGAGACTAACTGAGTCCGAGCTATATTTGTAGCACGCTTTACTAGTGATTCGCTAACATAGTAGACCTTGTTCTTGTGGAGGCGAAAGCAATAACGGCCTGAATCTGGGTCTGGGCCTTCATGAGAAGGGTTCTCAACTATGTTTTTGAGGTTGTTGCCTGTGAACTTGAAAAGCTTTTCGAACACTGCCGTGGTCTCAGTCTCATCTAAAGGTCTCATCTTTGTCCGGGACTTGAGGAAGGCTTTAGGACTGAGGTTTCTGAGGCCTGCTTAGCTATACACATACACAAGGATAAGGGAGATACATATACAGAGGATAGCATAACAAAGCATAACATAAAAACATCCAACAAAGCATAACATAAAAAATAAACATCCCACAAAGCATAACATACTTAAAGCTGTCCAGAAACAGCCTTATTTATATCCTCTAGCTCAGACAGGACAACCTCAGACCCGGAGGACGAGCACCAGAGCACCATCCAGTTAAGAGGCTCTGGCCCCTTTGACCCCCATACCGTTGATTTTGAATGAATTTTAAAATGGACCATTTCTCCTCTCATACCTTCTTTATTCACAGACAAGCCTTTGGATATGACTTTATCAATAGACATTAATCTAAATTCATGGAATGCATTATCTTAGAACACATAATTGTAATAAAACTTATGACACAAAAGTAAGGTACTACTAGCCATTCTATCCTTGTACATGCATACTACATGGTTTTTAGCCACCAACTTGCTCAACTATCTTTGAGTAGCAGAATTAGTTCCAATTTTTGAATTCGTTTGATTTTGTTCTCTACCAAGCTGAAGACATTAGAAGAACACAGTTCAAATCACTGCATGTGTATCGAAGGGTTTGTTCATTTCCACAATAGTTTCCTTCATGTACAGCATCATTGGCATCAAAATAGAACAATAAAAATACAGAACAAACCAAACCCAGATGAAAAAACAGCAAGGTAAATGTCATGAATTAAAAAAAAATTATACAAAGAAGGAAAAAAAAAAAAAGTATGCCTTGATTTCAACAGCAAAACCCAAAAACCTATGCATTTGTCCCTTTTTCCTTTCAACTCCTTTTTTTTCTACTATACCACACACAGCAATGACAAAACCAAAATCAGTCTAAGTATCAATTACCAGCATATTAAAACAGTCCAAAACACCAAATCTGAAACACCCAATTATTGAAACAGCCAAAAACAAAAAATAAAGAGAAACTTAGAAATTTTCATACCTTTTATGGAAAGCCAGAGGCCGTGAGTGGGAAGGATGTGAGTGAGACAGAGAACTGAGGTAGGGAGCTCGAAAGAGGTGGGAGTAGGCCTGTAATTCGGCCAGATAGAGAACTAGAGAAAGATCGGGAGGGAGAGAGAGCCAAGGATAGAGAACTAGAGAGAGAAAGAGTGAGAACCAGAGAACCTGGGAGGAAGGGGATTAGGTTAGGGTTGGAATTTGGCATTTGGGCTGCTGCGAAATGGGCTGGGATAAAAGTAACTGGGCTGCTGGCATATTAAGGCCTAGTTAGGGATTGCTGTCACTTTAAAAAAAAGTTGCTTCTGCTGTGCTTTGAAAATAATTAGCTGTAAAGTAAAGCAGCTCCATGTTTGGTAAACAATATTTTTAAAGTGCTGTT